ATGTAATTGAGAGTAAATTATGGAATTGATAGTGATTAAGAATTTAAATATGATAATTGACACATTTGGTCAATAAGAGAATTGACTTTAAATGCCAATTCTATGTAGATTCTAGTATATGGTGCACAATTACAAAAGGAGCTTGAATTGGGTTGAAGTTACATGGTTAACCCTTTCTATCGAACAGAAGGATTGAGATAACTATATAATTTGTTGTGTTTATTAACTATTATGACTATGTAGAAGTAAACATAAATAAGAAAGTTGTTGTTTTATGAGTTTTATACATGATTTGATATTGTAAATAATTTTAGCATGAAAATTAATTTGTAAAAGGCTATTGATTTTGAGTTATACATATATGTGATGTGGTGAAATGTGAAGAAAAGTGGTGAAAATTGTGAAAGAACATGATCATAGGGGGTGGGAGTTCACCCAGGATATGTGGGGATGTATATGTGTGGAGATATGTGAGTGAAAAATCCAAATGGTTGGACCGGCACCATGAGATATCTAGTGTAGCACTATACGAGCTGGTACTATAGGAAATCTAGTATAGCATATTATGGGACTGTTATCATGGGACATTCAGGCAATCTGACAACTCCCTAATGCCCGAAATTATATAGTTAGGAGTCAATGACGCCTCTATCATAAGTGTATGAAGAGGGAAACCATAGTCAATAAGTGGGTTAGATTACCTTTAGCTGGGTGTTTCTACCATTAAAACTGTGCTCAGGTCAACAAGTAGTTGATCTAGGAGAGCCTATGGTTTCATGTTGGGGAGTATTGGAGATTCGGTAGCTAGACGATTATGTTAGTATGTATTAGTGTGGAATTGTTTTGAAAAGATGAATCACTTTATATTTTGATATATGCATGATATTGTCTTAGTTTTTATTACTTTAGCACATTTATTTGTGATAATAGACATTTAAATGAACTATATTTGGTCATTGAAATTTCTATCTCACCCATGGTTATTTACATTTTTTTGCCTCTGTTACTAGTGGTTCAAAGGGGAAAGACATTGGCTGAATTAAGATCTCTTGCTAAGCCTTAGTAAGGTTTTCATGTAATGAATTTGGTTGTTATAAGTCTTGTATATGTATAAGTTGCCATAGGATTTGTACATGTGTATAAAGATGTGATTGTGGTATGTTTTGTGATTTTGAGCTCCCTAGCCCTTGTATATGTGTGAATGATGAAATAACTAGATGGGCTAGTAGACGGATGTAATTGTGTGTGAATATGAGATATTTGGAGATTATATATGTAGTGAATTGGCCTTGTATGGAATTAAAAAAATGAAAATGTGATTTTGGCCTAAATAGTGAAATGGGTGATTTATAGGCCAAATATGTGTATGCGTGTCATACTGTGTATGTGTGTGACCAATCAGTATGCATTGTCCCATTAGACATGGTTAAGGCCCAAAAAGTAGCCAATGACATTTGGTTTCAAATTGAGACACTTAAGTGGCAAAATTTTGATAAAAAATGATCAAAATGCACTTGGATATTCAATTTTTGATAGAGATATCAAACTGAGTTGAAACTAGTGTTATTAGTTATATTTTGAAACATGCTTTATATTGGCATTTGAACCATCCCAATTGGACATCGTATGTGGAAATGGCACGTACTTGAATTTTGTATCTGAAACTGTCATTTGACAGCAAATTTAGGCGTGTACACTGCAACACATGTAACCTACATGCTGTAATATCCTCCTCCTTTTATCCCACAACTAAAACCCAAATTTCAAGTAATTAGGACAATGAGAAGATTGTAATCATTAAATACAAAATTCTCATTGGTTAACAAAATGGGAACCTCAAGAATTATAAATTTAAAGTCAAATCAAGTCTTGCAAAGAGGCAAAACAAAGTTCACAAATACATAGAAGCAAGAGATTATCACATAAGTTGTTACATAGGTGCAAAAATCTAAAACAAGAAAAATTTTCAAAAAATAAAAGGCGTATGCTGTGGCTCATTGAACATGCTCCGCGGCATGTCCATCTTTGTGACACAACTCGTGGCTCGTGATGCCCATGCGCCATGGCACAAATGCACGAACTTTGACAGTGAGTTCTGCTATCAATTTGACAGCTTTAAGGCTAACTTTTGATGCACCCCAAATCTCCGTCCGACATCCGAATGATGTCAACTAGGAGTCTACGGAAAGCTCTCTTTGGGCTATAACTAATGGTATTGGTTTCAGGCTCAAATTATTTTTAAAACAAGAATTGAATACCCTTTTAAAACCTACTCCTTTACCTCAACTTTTGCAAATTTCAAGTATCCTAACCTAAAATTAAGGACCAATGGCCACCAACACCAAATGACCACATACAACTCAACAAAATTAACTTGTGTAAAGCACCAAAGCACAAGAAATATTTTCAGATTAAATTTCCACTACTCAACCCCTTAACTCAATATCATATGAAGGGGGAGTTTACCATAATTTTCATCAAGTTTCTCAAATCATCACATAATATGCGCTACCCTTACTTGCATTGGTATTTTGGCCTTATTAACATAACACATAATAACGACCTCTCTCCCTAGGGCCCAAAATACCATTCCAATTTACTTTTCTCTTAATGCAAGTAAGTAACAAAAAGGAAAATTCTAGTTGGCAATTGAAATTGTCATATACATAAATTACTCAAAATAAAGAGGCCTATTACAAATGGATCATGATCTTAAGCCTCAGGTTGTTTTTCCTCTATCTACACTTCTTAAGCTATTCCCTACTAATACATAACAATTAGTTTGACTAGCCTATACTAATACATAACAATTAGTTTAAATACAAGTGGCAGTAAATATTATTACTTTAACCCATGAGCAATATTTAAAATAAGAATTCACAACTTAGCTAACATAATGGCATTCACTTGGAAAAACAATGCCTTTAGCATCTTTCATATAAATAGAATTGCTCACATAAATCATTGACAAGCCTAAGGGCAAAAATTATTACTCAACTCAACATATCTACATGATGGACTCAATATGGACAACAAGTGCCTTTTCTCACTATATGTATGATCACACCTCCCTTATATCCTCCTTATTCCTCTAACACAAAATCGTGGGCTATAACTTAATGGGATAGTCTATATTCCTTGACTTCCTTAGCCTAAGGGTACCCAACTAACTTATGGATCATAGTCTCCCCCATTTCTCACACCATGGGGTGTCATACATCCTAGACTAGCTTCGTCATTGAATCGGTGGATACTAGCTAGGTTTAAGTCCCTCGTTGAACCAGTGAGACAGACTCTCATTAAATAAGTAGGACGATATGGATAGAATCAATCTAGGCAATCCATCACACGGATGGGGCCTTACCACATGGATTTATTATCTATTCTGCTTCCTAGGCGAACTCCTACCTTTGTAGATCATGCAATGGGCATTCATGCGATAATTCACACATATACAATTCATAAAACTTCACATTATCACAATTCATAGAACTTTAAAACTAAACAAGTCGTTGAACTCCCAATTCACAATCATTGTACCTCACACATTTAGAATCATTGAACTTCCCTATTTTCATTACACCTCACACTTTTAAAATCATTGAACTTCCCTATTTTCAAACATCATTGAACTCCTTAAACAAAGATTCATTTTGCTTCTCAATTTGTAGAAATCATTGCACTCCCAATGAATATTGGTACGAAAATCCGGTCTATTGTTCTCTAGGAATTTTGCATCATAAGGCCTAACACTTACAAATTGATCTAGTAGATTTCTTTACAGATTAAGCCACACTTGCATTTCTTTTATTTTGCAACATTTCAAATGGTAATTCATAAATCAATAAACTAATAGATACATAAGTATAAGATAAAATTCTCCCAATTACCTCATACCTTTGAGAGGTCAAAGGTTTTACCCCTCAACTATTCCCTCCCGAAGCTTCCAAGAAGCTTGAATAGTATCAATGGTAATTACACTACAAGCATTTACCATGCAAAATATCAATATCTATTTTGAGCTATTTTTCACTAGCATTTTTATCATTTCTTAATACTCAAGATTTACTCTAAACTCATGTAAAAGTACCCATAAGTTTCTTAGCTTCCTTTAACTCTCATTTATAACATTAAGCTCTTAAATGGGTATTAATGAAGCTATATTATCCCCAACCACTAAATTGATGGGAATTTAGGACATTTAATGTCCTCCAACCACCTATCATCATAAAATTATAAATATCAAGTTTACTTAGCTCAATCTACCTCCATTAACTCTATTTAAGTCAATAGGTTCGGACTCATAACCTCTATGGACTGAAAATCACCAATAGAAATCAAACCCTAACCTTTACTATCAAGAAAATGGAAGAAGAGATGAAGATTTAAGCTAGGAAGCTTACCTTGGGTATTTATGAGCTCTAAATTACTTCCAACAATCAGTTTCTTCAAACCCTAGCTCAGCTTTTTCACTACTCCTCCTTTCTCTTTTATTTTCTCTTCATTTTCACTTCAGATTTGTGACTTAATACTATAAAATTCTCACCATGAGCCATGGCGGACGCACAATATGCCACAGCACATGGCATAAAAAACTTCTTCCAGGTGTGTTGGCATGCATGCTCTGTAGTGGACCAACCCCACACCGTGGCACGTGGCACACAACCATTCCCTTCAAAATTCTTCCTTTTCTATCCTCAGGTAATCCAATTCTCCTTCAGACTCGGTTTTGGCATAGAAATTGAGATCAAACACACCCGTTAGGCCTTCTAGCCACACACCTCAAAAATTCACTTTACTAATCTATTTAAGCTTAATTATTCTAGATTTAAAATTGACGATGTTACAATTCTCCCTTCCTTTTAGAAATTTTGTCCTCAAAATTCATATAATAGCTCAAAACATACCTTAAAGGAATAAATGAGGGTATAGTTGTCTCATTCTCCCCTCAATCTCCCGTGTAGCATCTTTGAGAGTTATTCCTTTCTATATCACTTTAACTAAGTGATCTTATTCCTAAACTGCTTCTCTTTTACATCGTCTATTCTCTTAGGCTCGGTTCGATAAGTCAAGTTCTCCCAAAACTCAACATCTTCAGGTTCAATTATGTGAGACGGGTCAAGCTGATACTTCTTTAACTGGGAGACATGAAACAAGTCGTGTATGCCCACGAGATGAGGTGGCAATGTAATCTGGTAAGTAAGTGTCCCAATCTGCTCTTGGATTTCAAAGGGACCAACAAAATATGGAGTTAAATTCTTAGCTTGAATTGATCTCCCAATGCCTGTCATTGGTGTAACCTTTAAGAAAACATGGTCGCCCACCTCAAATTGTAATGGTTTTCTTCGTTTGTCAACATAACTTTTCTGTCGACTATAAGCCATCAAAAGCTTTTGGCAAATCACTTCTATTTTCTAAGTAGTCTGATCCACCAAATCAAGACCCAAAATGCTCCTCTCACTCAACTCGATCCAACAAAGTGGTGATCAATACTTTCTCCCATATAAAGCCTCATAAGGAGCCATCTGGACGCTCGAGTGAAAACTGTTGTTATAAGCAAATTTTGTTAATGGTAAGTGTTTATCCTAGCTACCAGTACACTTAATAGCACAAGCTTTAAGCATATTCTCTAGTATTTGATTCGTTCTCTCAGTTTGACTGTCCGTCTGGGGATGGTAAGCAGTACTAAATTTTAATTTTTTTTGCCATAGCTTGATTTAAAGCTTTCCAAAAGTTCAACGTGAACAAGGATCATGATCTTATACTATATCCTTTGGGACTCTGTGTAATCTCACTATATCAGATAATCCACTCTAATAGCCAGAAAGTGGGCTGACTTAGTCAGTCTATTGATAATGACCCAGATAGCATCATAGCCCGCTTGAGTATAGGGTAAACTCATGATGAAATCTATCGAAATGCTACCCTACTTATACTCTAGAATTTCTAATGATTGTAACATACCAGGTGGTTTTTGATGTTCCATTTTGACTTTCTGACAAGTTAAGTACTTTGACACAAAATTGGTCACATAACGCTTCATACCATGCCACCACCAATACTTCCTCCTATCTTGGTACATCTTGGTAGCACTAAGGTGAATGGTAAACTTACTCTGGTGAGCTTATGATAGTATAGTATCTTTGATCTCCCTAATGTCAGGAACACAAACACGATCATGATACACCACGAAACCATCATCATTGAAACTGAACTCTGAAGTCCATTTCTCTTCAATATTCTTCTGGATTTCTAGTAGGTATGGGTCTTTCAATTGTGCTTCTTGCAATTCCTTCCAAAATGCATTAGTAATTATCATGGTATTCAAATTAAGCACAGCAAAAATAGGCATATTCTAACGTATACTAGAGAAATCCTCTAGTAATTTCTGTTCATGTATCATCATACAAGCCACGTGTACTGTCTTCCTACTCAATGCATCGGCGACTACATTGGCTTTACCTTGATGGTATTTTAGCTCAAAATTGTAATCTTTCAAAAATTCCATCCATCTCCACTATCTCATGTTCAACTCTTTCTGGTCAATTAGATATTTGAGACTCTTATGATCACTAAATACTTCAAACTGTGAGCCATAAAGATAATGTCTCTAAATCTTTAAAGCAAAAATAATAGCTGCTAACTCAAGGTCATGAGTAGGGTAATTTTCCTCATGTGGCCTCAATTGTCTAGACTGCATAGGCTATAACCTTATCATCTTGCAATAATACACATCCTAAACCTTTAAGTGAAGCATCGGTGTACACTATGTATGACTACTTTGGATCCAAAATTGTTAACACTAGTGCTGTAGTCAGCTTATCCTTCAGTGTCCAAAATGCTACTTCATACTTCTCAGTCCATACAAATGGCTGATCCTTCTTAGTCAACTTAGTCCAAATAGAGGCTGTTTGCGAAAACCCCTAAACGAACCTTTGATAGTAACCAGCTAACCCCAAGAAACTTCTTACCTTTGTTACTAAGGTAGGTCTCTTCCATTTCAGTACTGCATTGACCTTATGAGGATCCACAGATATACCGTCAGCAGATATCACATGACTGAGAAATTTCACTTCTCGAAGCTAGAATTCACACGTGCTTAATTTCACATATAGTTTGTGTTCTTTCAACACTTGCAACATGATTCTCAAATGCTTAGCATGTTCTTCTTCATCCTTAGAGTAGACTAGGATATCATCAATTACATAACTATGAATTTATCCAAGTAGGGTCTAAAAATCTTGTTCATATAATCCATGAAGATTGCTAGCGTATTCATCAATCCAAAAGGCATTACTAAGAATTCGTAATGCCCGTATCTCATCCTGAAGTCAGTTTTGGGTACATCCTCAGACTTCACCCTCAGTTGATGGTATCTCAAGTCGATCTTGGAAAACATAGCTGCTCTGACAAGCTGGTTAAGAAAATCATCTATTTGAGTCAGTGGATATTTGTTCTTGATTGTTGCCTTATTCAACTATTAGTAATTGATACACAATCTTAAGCTTCCGTCCTTTTTCTTCACAAACAGTACAGGTGAACCCCAGGGGGATACACTTGGCTTAATGAATCCTTTCTCTACCAATTCTTCCAATTGCTTCTTCAATTCTTCTAGTTCTGATAGAGCTATATGGTATGGAGCCTTAGAGATGGGTTCAGTTCTTGGCACTAGGTCAATAGAGAATTTAATCTCCCTTTCCGGTAGTAAGCTAGACATCTCATCGGTAAACACTTACAACTCCAATCTCGTCAAGAGTACCATCGTACTCTCCAAAGGCTGAAAAGAACACTAAAAATGTCTGACACCCTTCACAGTCTGACCTCTTAATTTGCATGGCAGAAAAAATGTAGGTATCTCAAGATTCACTATGAAGGTAGTATCCTCAAAGACTGCAAGAGTCGCATTACACACCAGTAGAGAAACTATGTTCTTTTCATAGTCTAGTATCGCTCCGTTAGCTGACAAAAAATCCATCCCAACAATCACATCAATCCCCAACATGGGCAAACAAACCAAATCAATCAGTGTAATTCTATTACCACATTTCATTTCCACTTTCAAACATGCACGACTGGCTTTCACAGAAGCCCCAGCCGGTTTAGAAACATTCATCAACACAGGCAATTTAATCACAAGCAACTTTAACTTTTGTACACACTCATTTGAAATAAAAGAGTGAGTAGCACCCAAATTAAATAAAGCAGGGATCTCAATATCATGGAGAGAAATAGTACCTCTGATAAGCTTTGAAGAAGCTTCAGCTTCTTCCTTGGACAAGGCAAAGACATGACCAGGAATAACAGACCTTTGGTCATGTGTACTAGCATGCTCAGGGCAATATCACGCTACATAGCCTACCTTATTGCATTTGAAGCATGTCCAACACTCCCCCTTGTGATACTTCCTACACTTGTTGCATTATGGAGCTCTCATAGGTTCAGTAATAGTAGGGGCAGAGTCCTGTCTCGAAGTCTAGTTCTGACCTCCCATACCTCTGGGTGCATTGTTCTTAGACTTGGATCCCTTGGATTGAGATCCCTTTTAAAAATGATTTCTAGCACCCCCGATACTAAACCCTAAGAATGATCCCAAACCAAAATTGGTCTTCTTGCTCACACCGCCAGTGGGACCCATAAATGAAGAAAAATGACCCTAACAATCTCTCTTCTTATCATCTATTAATTTGCTTCTTCTAGTAATGGCCCAAAACTTATTGCACATCACTTTAAAGGAAGTGATCTCAAAGGCTGCAATTGCTTAGTATACTAAGGCCGCATCTTGTCTAAGAACTGCTCGGCCTTCCACTTGTCATCATCATGATGTCTCAAATAGGTCGAATACTTTGACAATTTATTGAACTTGGCCGTGAACTCCTCCTCATTCATATTACCTTGCTGTAAGTGATGAAACTCAAATTCCTTCTCTGCTTGAAGGGTAGATGGGAAATAAAGAGTGAAAAATCTCCTCTTGAATTTCTTCCATGTAAGTAAGGAGCCATTAGCTGGCCTTGCACTCTCCCATCATTGTTTGGTGGCATCCTCTAGCATGAAAGTAGCTAAGAGTACCCGTTGCTCTATGGTGCAGATCATCACAGAGAATATGGTCTCCAACAAGTCTATCCACTTCTCACCAGCTCTATCCTCCATGAAACTGCTAAAGTGAGGAGGATTCAACCTCGTGAATCTCTTGAGTGCATAGTTAATAGAACCCTCATGTTCCTTCTCAATCAGCCTCATAGAACACATTAGCCTCTTCGGTGCACTCTCCTCATAGTACTCCTCATCTTCGTGCCCTTGTACCTCTTCTAGCATCTCAACTCTTTTCTTCTTCTTAGGGTCACCTCCTGTTTTCTCAACCATACCACTACATCCTTCTTCAGGCTTCTGCTCAAGAATCTTATCACGGTCGTCCAATCTTTTCTCAATTCTCTCCATTAGTGCTTTTAACTCGAGCAACATGTTATCACTACCCATGGAGCGTACGGGTTGTTCTTGGTTTCGTCCCATTTCTACTTGTTCTTCTTCAATTGGGACCACCACTTCTACTAAAACTTCTTTCTCTTGTCTCAATAGATTTACTAGAATATTTTAGGCTATCCCATAAAAGGAAAGGATCAGTGCTAGCTTAAGAGAGAAAAATAATGTGTATAATAACAGTTGCCAACTCTATATGCAAATACACAAATAAGCATGATTACACAACATAATCCATAGATCAGTACTCATAACAAGAGAAACTGAAACCAAATTGTAATATCCTCCTCCTTTTATCCCACAATTAAAACCCAAATCTCAAGTAATTAGGGAAATGAGATAATAGTAATCATTAAATATAAAATTCTCATTGGTTAACAAAATGAGGACCCCAAGAATTATAAATTTAAAGTCAAATCAAGTCTTGCAAAGAGACAAAACAAAGTTTGCAAATACACGGAAGCAAGGGATTATCATATAAGTGGTTATATAGGTGCAAAAATCTGGAACAAGAAAAATTTTTGAAAAAAAAAATAAAAGGCATGTGCCGTGGCTCATGACATCATGCGCCATGGCACAAATACACAAACTTTGACAGTAAGTTCTACTGTCAATTTAACAACTTGATGGCCAAATTCTGATGCGCCCCAAATCTTCATTCGATGTCTGAGTGATGTGAACTAGGAGTCTAGGAAAAGCTCTTTTTAGGCTGTAACTAATGGCATTAGTCTTAGGCTCAAATTATTTTTAAAACAAGAATTGAACACTCTTTTCAAAACTTACTCCTTTACCTTAACTTTTGCAAATTTCAAGTGTCCTAACCCAAAATTAAGGACTAATGGCCACCGACACCAAATGAACACATACAACTCAATAAAATTAACTCACGCAAAGCACCAAAACACAAGAA